ATATATATATATATATACATATATATATATATATATATACACACACACACACGTGTCTCATTTGAGATCAAGCAAGCTGAGCAAAATGCACAGAAGTGGGCGTATCTAACAGATTATGTTCATTTTGGTGTTATAGACTTGTAGAAGTAACGTTTGATGTGTAATACATCTATTATAGGTCTACATATAACAATGCTTTTTGTTCATGTAGATCAATCTGCAATCATAGGAGCTGATCAATTTAAAAAAAAAATCGTACCACAATCTATTAGAAATCAACGTTTAGGAGATTTGGCAAATGAAATGCAACGATGCAAAATATTTTGCGACAATTGAGAACGATTATAGTGAAATAATACACTTTAAAAGTGGACCTTTTGAAATTAGTGGAGAAGAGAGGAGTGTGTCCACATCCCATAAACCCTGCTCCGGAGCCTGCTATCGATTATCTTGAATTCAGAAACAGTGGAGTACCTAGGGGATGCACGGGTCACATTCCCCCACAGACCGGAAAAATTTGAATCTAAACAATTAAGACTTAACACTTTGGCTGCCAGCGACGAGTATACTCGCCCCACAGGGTGTTGCTTAGGGTGCTAGGAACGACTATACTCGTCAAAATCGAAGTAACATTCTAGTATTTATTACTTCTTTGTTATACATTGTAGAACCACAGACTTAACGGCTGGTAGTTCGGGGAAGATACACCTAGACAATAATGTAAAAATAACAGATGTATGTTTATTGTGTTATCTTGCCGGCAGTACATTCGATTGCACGAGTGGGGGTGCCCTCTCAACATATACCAACCCATGCAAAAAGCGGACGAGAAAACTCGCACCTGGCAGACAATAAAAAAAATGCTGTCCCAGATTTTGGCGACGAGTTTAGTAGTCCCCTAATATTTTTACTCCAATTTATTAGACACATCATTTTGATGATAAATGACTAGATAGAATTTTAAAAAAGTATGTTTGTACATGTAAACTTGTTCTGGCAGACGGGAAGGAACAAAAAAAAAGGTGTGGCAGTCAACGTGTTAAGAAGTTAAAAATCCCCTCATATCACCAAGCTAGAGACCCTCAGTCCATCATCATGCAAATTTCAAGACTTGTGGATACGCGATTGTTCAGAAATGAGATTGTATATGATTGCAATCTCATATCGTATATCAATGTAATTTTTTACTCAAAACATGTATCACTCAAACAAAGTCACATATAATGAAAACAATTTTATTTCAATTTCCATAATAACTTCTATTAACATATGTTATCGGTTTTTATAAAAAAATAAGCATTGACTAACAGTCACATTAAATGTTAAAAATGCACACAGCTAATCCTAAAATTACGTACAGGTATATAATATAAACAATTAAGCAGCTTATACCAAATAATGGCATATAAGTACATTAAAAAGCTAAAATATTTAGAGGGCAGTGAACTTTATAATGTAAAATAATATAATCAACCCTTATAATTTGTATCCACACAGTTAGCACCATACTTGCAGCAATTTTACATGTTGAGATTGATTTATTTAAATGTTAAAAATGCACACAGCTAATCCTAAAATTACGTACAGGTATATAATATAAACAATTAAGCAGCTTATACCAAATAATGGCATATAAGTACATTAAAAAGCTAAAATATTTAGAGGGCAGTGAACTTTATAATGTAAAATAATATAATCAACCCTTATAATTTGTATCCACACAGTTAGCACCATACTTGCAGCAATTTTACGTGTTGAGATTGATTTATTTAAGACTCATATTCATCAGCATCTGAAACAAAAACAATGCAAATGGTTTAAAAAAAAAAAAAAAAAATTTTTAATTTAATATACATGTATAGCATTACTATCTAAATAGGGACAATAAAATCCAAACGATTCTTCTCAGAACAAAATACCATCAATTGGATAGGATTGGAGTGTTTCAGTGTGAATCCCACTAAGTCCGAAGTGGGGGTCTTCTGGCGGTGAATTAGGGGGCAGTGCACTTACAATCCCTTACATTTTTCTGAAGAAGGTACTGCATTTTCTTTAACATGCACATGGGCCATATTGCACACGGGACCAACAGCTTAAACGTCTCATCCAAAAGACTGTGTGCTATCATAACTTGTATTTCAGCCCTCCAGCCGATACACAGGGAGAGCAGCGATGGGAATTGAACCGGGGACCTAGAGATCTCCACAGTTCAGTGCACACACAGTGGCTACCACCAGTTCATCCGACTGAGCTAAGCTGCTCTAAATTGAGATTTATAGAATTTACCACATGGGGTACTGAAAGCTTGTAATTAGTTATAATGTCAATTAATGTCAATTAGTTATTATGTCAATTCACCATGCAAACCTTCAATACTTACTTTTATTACATTATTAAAAATTATGGAGAGGTCTCCCTCTAAATTAAACACATTTAAATTAAAGATCTCGTTTCTGCAGGCCCAAATGAGCATCTATCTTTTATTTTCATAATCATTACAAAAACCAAAGCTTAAAAAAAAAACCATTTACAACACCAGTCCAAAAAATTGTCTTCGTTCGAATGAGACCTGCATTTTAAAAATCTTACTTCTACTGATATGCAAGTATACAGTTAGCACAAGGTGATAATATATAAAATTTATGTGTAAAGTGTTTTTGCTTTTCATTCTTGGGCAGATTCCTCTTCAATGTTATTAATATTTAAGCTTTGTCTACACTATCAAATTTCATGTGACAAAAAAAATTGATGTGCCCATATATGGGTATGATGACATCATATCACATATCATCAAATCATATAAAAAAAATTGAACATGTTCAACTGTTATTTTCCATCACATTTTTTTGATGAAATTTGATAGTTTAGACAAAGCTTATTATAAATATATTTAAAACTAGAAATTGCAAATTGCAAGTGAGGTGCTGCGAAGTACAACTGCATATAAATTTTCTTCGAACAAAATTATTTATGCGAGTCAAGTGAAAATAATGAATAATAAAAATATAACAAATAATATGAGACACGACCCATTGTCTACAGTATATTAGAACACTTCTCATTGGGTAACAAAGTCGTAATTTTTCATTTTTGTCAAAAAGTGTCTATAGTGGTGAATTATGGTTTAGGTTTTTTTTAATAAAGTTTCAAAAATTTCTATGTATGTGGAAAATGTAGTTGATTACCAAAGGTTACAATTTACAACACCAGTCCAAAAATTGTCTTCGTTCGAATGAGACCTGCATTTTAAAAATCTTACTTCTACTGATATGCAAGTATACAGTTAGCACAAGGTGATAATATATAAAATTTATGTGTAAAGTGTTTTTTTAGTTGATTACCAAAGGTTACAATTACCAAAGGTTACAATTTTTATTTTGAAGACTGCATGGTCTAGGAAGTGTACATTTTTTTATGGGGCAAGTTTCCAAGGGCAGGTTTTCCAGGGGCGAGTTGACTGCCAAAGAGTGTTGCCAAAGTGCGAGCCAGCGTGTTATTTGATCACAAGTGCGAGACATCAAGTGTGACCCAGCGAGCAATGACGTCACGAAAATAGATACGAGACATTAACGAGTTGTGCGAAGTATCGGCTGAGATTTGTGGAGTACAATTCAAAAAGCAACTATAGGTCTAATAATGAATTATTGTGATATTAAATAGACAATGTTAGCTATCAAGGAGCGACGTTGTTTGGGACCTTCGTCCCTTCAAGGCTAGGCCTAATACCATCCTGCTAGTCTAGGCCTAGAGTAGGATAAGGCTAACGCGACATGCGGACGTTGGTACGTGT